AGTAAGTTTATTACTTTCCTTTATTAAAACCTGTAAAGGAACCCCTGATTCCTCGGGGTGAGAGAGGTGACTTGCATGCAGGTGCTACGCTCATCTAATAGAATCTCAAGCCTCCGTGGCACTTAGTGTTTATGAAGGAATGCATGACCGATGAAGAGCAGACAAGCTTCAAATGAACAACTTCCATGAATAAACCACGGCAGTGTGAGCACACAAGCCTAGGAGCTAGCTAGACAAAGAATTTCCCAGGTTTCTTTCTTAGGATTGGGATGATGATAGTGATTACTGCATTTTAATGACAAGGCGCCAAAAAAGGTTCAAGTGTGAGAGAGAAAAAGGCCTCGTCTCCTGAGGAAATAACATCAGAATAATTTCAGAACACTTATTTCACGATGACAAAACCAGCCTCTTCTTGAAACAACTGGAGGACAGAATGCACATACTCTAGTTTGTATTCTGTACCAGCAGGATCTAAATGATGCAGTTGTGTAGATTTTCATGCACTCTTTTAGAGCATCATTCTGGAAAGAGAAAGCAGTCAAAAAGGCATAATCAAGGGAAGAAATAACTTCAGGTTGCTTTTCTTCATTTCAATAAACCACCAATAAATTAGAACAAGGTTAAGATAAAGGAATTCTTGAAAGACAACTTGGGGAGGGAGACAGAATTGTCTAACTTAATTACAGTTCACCTTTTCCCTCCATTAATTCTAGGAAGAAAAACAAAGGTCAAATGACGCAAAGCACCAATTCAGAAACAAAATGTGTAGGGCAAGCTTGCTTTCAGGAAAAACAAATAAATAAATAAATAAATACATGACACTTTCTCCCTTAATTTTGTTCTAAGAACAGTGAGAGAAAAGAACAGACACTGTCAAACCATTTCTAATTATCAAGGGCACAGATAAGAAAGGAAAATATTTCTCTGGCATTAATTGAAATTCCGCAAATATACACAAAACAGGTAAGATGCACCAAGAATCTTCTGGAGCAGTTTCAAGTAGTAAGAACTGAATTATGAAAGGAAGTGGAGGGGGTTTGTCCTATGAGCCAGAACTTGGAAGTAGAAAACGGAGAAATCTGGCAGGAAACCTACAGCTCAGCTGCCACTTTCCATCCCAATGGGCCACTCAGAGAAACCAGAAACTGATCTGATGAAACCTTCTCCATCCCACAGAAATCTTTGCTAATAATATTTCAGAATCATGTAATGAGCATCTCCTGCCACCATCTCCTTTTAAAGATATTTAGAATAGCTCCAAATCTCTCATTTTAAATCATATTTTAATGCCCCTCATGTTATCCACGTAGCAGTCACCCAGACCTGGGAATCCCTACTTTAGGAGATGTGAGCATAAGAAGATAGTTCTTAATTACAGGGCACTCACACAGATGATAGCAGATATACGAATGTTGTCAAAATATGATTCAAAACGAAAAAAATGACAGAAGTGAAAATCCCCCTGCTGTGCGCATTCTGAAAAGAGAAATAATGGTCTCTTGGGCATTGTAGAGGGAGTAAGAACATACACAGAGAAATAGGTGTATTTGTGTTAGTATAGTTATGATTTGAGCATGTAAAGGAGAAGGAAAAATTACCAGTGGAAGTAATAATAAGAAGGAACACATCTCTGGTGTTTGTGGAGAATCACACCTTGCTCTGGACACTGAGGTCAGTCATCTCTTAAGCGCAACCTAAAACAAGAAAGTATCCCATTTGCAGGTGGGAGAACAGAGGCTCAGAATACTCAGGTAATTTGTGGACACACTTGAATCTCTGCCCTGTCCTAGCGCACACTCTTCCTGCTTCCCAAAGCTTACTGAAGGTCAAGCGATGTAAAGGTGTTAGACACGAGACAAAGCATCATCCATTGTTCCTGTGGCTGCAAGGTGGCAGAGTTGGGGAAGGAGGGTTTATCTGGACTCTGTATGGCAGCAGCAGGAAACCACTGAAGGTTTCTCAGCAGAGAATGCTAAGATAAAAGCCACATTTCAGCCTTTGGGCTAGGAATCATGAATTATATCTTATGATATGAAATGATAAAGACCAATAGGTTAAAGAAGCTTGTTCTACTCTTACACAAAACTTGTGGGCAAGAGCCAGGCGCAACCACTGCGCATCGCTGTCAGACAAATGCCCAACATGCCAGGCCTTGAGGAGGCTTCTACAGAGCAGGCGCTAGATGGTGAGCAGCGTCTCCGACCCCACAGAACAAGGACCTCCTCGTCCCTGGAGCTGTCCAACTCTGGCAGAAGGAGAGCTCTGGGGAATGCAGCATCTGCTGGAACCTGAGGCAATTGCTTGGTGTGTGTGTGCAAAGCATGGCTAGGGGACCAGTCAGCAGCAGAGCCCAAATCCTGCCTCCCAGTCCTGAGCTCACGTCATCAAACTGTGTGGTCTGTCACTAGACATGTGGCACAGAACAAGATCCTTTCCCTTTCTGGAATTCACCTTCCTTCTCTGTGAAGAGAAGTTGAATTCAGTGGGTTTCAGATTTCACGGCCATCAGTGTCCCTTCCTCTGCTACACACCACGAGAAAGGATCCTTTTCCATTGGGGACTCACTAACCGGGATCTGAGGGGGAGCTACAGCTGCTGAAAGCTTCCCCAATTTGTAAACCTGCTAACAAAAAAATAACCATACTTATTCAGCTCTATGAAGCTTTCTGGTCTTCAGTAAAATTGAGCTGGCCCACTATCATCCTTTGTAACTGCAAGCTGGCTCACCAATGTCAAAAGTACTGCAGTAACAAGGACATCATGATCACATTCAGGCAATGCAAGGAACTCTTCATTCTATCAACAAACGAACACTCCGGAACCCAGAGCTGTCACAGCCTGAGAGTGTCTTTTCTTTTATTTGAGAGGTGTGTGTGTGCACACACACGTGTATAAAAAGCAAAAGTTAAAATTGCAATGTTTTAGGAGGTGCATGAGAAGAAAGAACCATGATGCATTTTTACACGGTAACACACTCTATCAAAAACAAATTTCCAAAGGAGTCAAACTATTTCCTTCTTAAGAGATTGTCAAGTAGGAAGAGGATACAAAGGTCATTCTGCTCCCAGGATCGCTGCTGATGGAAGAGAAATGAACCCATGAAGCCAAATGTTTTTAAAGAATTTCTTACACTACATTGATTCATCACACAATTCCCAGTTGTTCCCCCATGGAGTTGTCTATGTGTGACTTGTTCTCATATCCAACTCACTCCAAAATTTTAGGCCTATTAAACTTATGGTTTTACCTCCTTTGACCTCCAATCAGGGTAAAGGCAAGGGGAATGACTGACAAATGTTAACATTAACAGTGCACCAAAAGTAATCATAGAACCAAACAAAACCACATATTGACACTTACCTCATGCTTATTTATTTTCATAAAACCAAACATGAATAAGCACTCCTTCCCCTGACCTGAGAAAGCAAAATCTGTTCAGTATGTGCAGCACAACCATCCGAAAGACTGCCCTTCTCACAGCAAGGGTTCCTGAGACTTCCGCGCTGCAGGACCCATGCTGCACGCCCGCCCCGGGGTCTGTTCTGGGAAGAGACAAGGTATCTTCACAGTCACATTCTTGAGGTCCCCTCACTGGCAAAACCTGACGGATTTCTGGAGGACCACCAGAGACCGCCACTTACTTAGGAGAAACCAGGGTAATGCTTAACACATGCCCTAGCAAATCCATTAGGAGGCACAGGCTGGCCGAAGACTGTTCCTGGAAAAGGTGAGGGCTTTCTCCTCATTTCTTCCCCAAGGCACCGGACTGGTAAACTCCAGGGTCTTAGCCCTGGTAAACTGAGAAAGGAGAGTCAGTCTCTGCCAGCTGCATGAACTCCTCCACCTGTTAAATCCTCACTGCCTCATCACCTGTGCTGGCAGAGACTTTGTGGGCTGAGTGACCAGAGGCAGCTGGACGTGTGAACATAATACGAGCACCAACCAACCTGCCTCTGCCCCAGCAGCTGTGGGGAAGCCACTGATACGCAGAGACCCAGAAGAAAGAGTATAAATTTAATGACTGAGGAAGGACAGGGATCCAGGATCACATTCTAAATTCTAGGATTCAAAATTGTAGATGTGAGAAATACACGAGTTCCTTAGGCTAACTGCAGGGAAGTTAAATACACGAGAGCAAACCCCGAAAGCTGGGCCTCTGATGCCAGGTACCTAGTCCAGTACAAACCTAAGAATCGGAAACCGTCTACCAATATACTGCGACTGTCTCACGCTTCCCCAAAGCCGCCTTCTCCACAAGCTTTGAACATTACTCTTTTTCACCTGAAGAGAAAGAGACGAATCTATTTATTTGCCTTTTGTGCTACCATCCTGAACACACCCTGCGTTAAACCTAAGGCAAAACGCGCGAGATGCAGCCAGGAAGGGTTAAGGGAGAGGAGACAGAAGAGAAATAAATGAGCTTGGAACAATTCCGAGAAATGGCCCTTGTGAGCTTGCAGTAGGCCAGGCCCTGCCAAAGCCTCCTAACTACTGCACTTAAGAGCTTAAGTGAGTAAACATCTCTTATCAGTAAAGAATTCCCACCCTCACCCCTACCCCTTTTTTTTCTTAGTGGCACTAGAGAAGGAACTCAGGGCCTTCACAATGACCTGTAATGTACCTGGCCTTTAAAAAAAAATTTTTTTTTTAAATTTTAAGACAAGGTCTTGCTAAACTCACCAAGTTGCTCAGACGAAGCTCAAATTTAGGACCCTCCTGCCTCAGCCTCCCAGAACGCTGCATTACAGGCGTGCACCAGCACGCACACCCTGCTTTTTGACAGTGAAGTTGATGCTGAGAGAGGAAAGGGACTTGCCCAAGGTCATCAAGTCTCGGTTCCAGGGCTCGACGCACCCCGTGTCCAGTGTCGCAATCCTGCCACCAACACTTAAGAGACCCTGCCCGAAAGAAGTAAAGCAGAGCAAGGGCAGGCGGTGAGGAGCAGAAGGGAGCGGGCTCAGCAGAGCATCCCAGAGCAGGGGGTCGCGGGGTGTGGGTACCTTGAGGTAGGCCCGCTGCAGGTAGTTGTAGGGCACTCTGCGCTGGAAGTCGCTGCGCACATCCTCGCCGGCGCGGTGTCGCGACGCGGGGCCCCCGAGGCGCTGGCTCTGGCAGCTGCGGTGGCAGCCCGCGCGCCCCAGCACGGCGCGGAAGAAGGGCAGCTCGGCCCCGGGCCCCGTGCCGCCGGGGGGCGCTAGCGGGCGGCGCGCGGCGCAGTGGCGGGCGCAGCGCACACGGGTCTCCCTCAGGCGCCGATGGCTGCGCAGCGCCGCTTCCAGGTCGCGCACGGCGCGCTCGAAGTCCCCTCCGTAATAGGCGGCCACGCCGCTGGCGTAGAGCAGGTCGAAGGGCTGCAGCGGCCCGCGATCGCAATCGCGCTCGGACTGGGGCTCGGGCTCGGGCTGCGGGGGGCCGCCCCACATCGGTGGCGGCAGCAGCAGGGGCAGCAGGAGCAGCGACACGCGGATGCGCTCCCGCATCCTTCCCCCACCCGGCGCCGCCCGCCGGCCGCGCCCCGACCCGGCTCCGGAGCCCTCAAGTCCCGGCCTCGCCGCGCTCCGGCTCCCCGGCAGCCCCAGGTGACCGCCGCGCCCGCGGACAGAGAGGCGGAGGCTCCGCGGCGGCCGCTCTTTAAGCGACGCCCCCGGCCGGCGCGCTCACGCTCCTCCTGCCGCCTGGCGCCCGGCGCGCTCGGGTCTCCCCGCGGCCACCGGGACCGGCCCAGGGAGCCGACCCGCCAGGAGGGAGCTCTGCACGTGTGGGGTGCAGACGGGCGTATCGCGAGCCCTGTTTAGAGATGAAGAAAATCTAGCTTAGTGAGGTTGGGGTCGTAGTCATTTTTTGGAATCTGTATCTGACGTTGCACTTTTTGCAGAATCCACCTAAAGCTCCATATCCAGTAAGCACTACAGGAACCCTAGGACTAGGTAGGAGCTTCGAAAAGAAAAGTGATTTGCGCAAGTGAGAAACTGTGGCAAAGGAAGGACTCAGCCCTGGCTGGGCCATTAGAAATAAAGCTTAGTGCTCCCTGCCCTGAAAAGGTCTCTCTCTCCCTGGCCTTCTCCCCCCACTTGGTGCGGGAGGGTTACTGTGTGCATTGGAGCAAATAAGAGTTGGGCAGGGAAAGACCCATAAATAGGCTCTCTGTCCTCAACAGACACTGGCATTATGGGGCACCAGACAGCTGCTGGAGAAAGAAGCTGTACTTATGTCCTGCCCCTGTCAGTTTTCTGTCTTGTACAGCTGAGTCTTAAGTTTCCTCATCTCTTAAAACAGCCAAAAACGTCCAACATGTCCAATGGTATTTAGATACAAATTATTATTGTAAGAGCAGAGCAAAGAGGCAGTGTAATCAATCCAGTACCCCAGGATTTAAGCAACCAGCGTCAATCTAGGAATGGGAAAGTTGACAGAAATAGCTACCAGACTCCAAGGAACTAGCTGGAGGCTTTCCTGTTCTTCTCCTTTCCCTGAGTCATAAATACTTCTCAGCCAAGGTGTCCCCCTCTTTCCTGGCCCTTGGCTTATGTGCTAGACCCTGGACTCCCTTCTCCTCCCAGGCAGGGTATTTCATCATACGCTCTTGGCCACTGAGATGGTAAATGAGACTGAACCACCTTTACCATGAAGCCGGTCTACACTCCCCAAAGAAGGATTTTGGGTGGAGTCATCATTTATTCAGGAAGTTGCCAGTTCCAAGTTCATCCTCGAACTGATTTTGCAGTGTTACCACTTTGGCTTTTGCTGTGGAACACCACGGGAAATTAAATAACAATGTTCTTCATATTTTTCTTCCCACCAAACTTCACTGTTTTGTTGAAGTGGTCTCGTATCCCTGGGGGGAGTGCTCCAGTTTGAAGCTGAATGAACACTGAGTACTCTAGATGTCCAGTGTTCCAGAATCAGCACTTGACTCGCCTGCCCAGGCTTTTTCTTTAGGGATCACCTCTGCTTGTTAATGACTCTGAAGTCTAGGGTTATTAATCTAATTGTGACAGGTTTTGAAGCACTTTAGGATGGAAAGACTGCTGTTGGACCATGGACAAAGTGCCAATATGTTTTGCTATATTTTATCTCTACCTTCAGAAACATTTCTGTTTCATCCAGTATGTGTCAGTTAAAGTCCTATCTTTGAATGTCCACCGTCCAAGTAGATATTACGGAAAAGAAGAGATGAATAAGCCAGAATCTGTTGGGGACTAGGCCACGTAACTGAAATCTCACTGTCTCCAGGTTGCCTGGGGAAACAGGGAAGTATGTGGAAGAACACGTGCTGCCAGCTATGGGGAGAATACTGATAACCTGGCACTCCTGAGACAAGACAGCATCTGCTGAGGACAGTTGTCAATATGCAGGCATTTGAGTATGGAGAAAATCTGGCTCCTCATTAACTTTATCCTTATCCGCCCATTCTCCATAGTTGCTGTTCCATGAAAGGCATGCTATCCCTTCCCCCTGGTCTTCTCACCAGCTAATAAAAGTGGGCCAGCTGCAGAGTTTTATTCAACTCTGTCCACTAGAGGCAGGTCTCCTCCTAGTCCCCCACTTTATAGCTTCAAAAATTGTCTCTATCTCTTCTTATTCCTCATTGTTCCCCTTAAAGGCAGCTGAGGGTCTGATCAGCCCTTGGTAAGAATCCTTATGGCTGGGGACTTAATATTGTATAGGAGATGAACATGATGTTCAGGGCTACAATACAAGGTAAGAATATGGTACATATTAAGTGAGATTCAAAGTGCTATAGGAAATAGGCTGCAATATGACTTCTGGCAGGAAAGATCTAGGAAGACTTTGGGGAAGAAAATGGCACTGACAGAGTAAAAGCGGGAGACTGAAGCCACATAAAAATCCTGCTGCTTCTCAAACTGCTTGTGACCTTTGAAGCCTTCTGCATAGCTTACTACTTTATTTCCTGCCACACAACCCCTACCGGACTTCAGAGGCACCAATTCATCAACACTCAAATTTGTTCTGAACATTGAAATGATCGGAGGAACTTAATGTGTTCTTATCTGGTGCCTAATATGAGAGATTCTGATTTGTTGAGTTGGCATATGACCTGGGCATTGGGATTGTTAGAAGTTTCCCCAGAGATTCTAATATGAAGTCAAGGTAAAGAATCACGGGTCTAGAGAAAATGCATCCTGCTAAGGAATCACTTGATGAATTGGGGTTACAGGGCTGTGGAGGATTAGCAAGTCTGAGATACAGGAATAGGAAGGGGTTTTGTGCACTCCCTCAGATTTCTTTTCCTCAGAAGGCTAATCTGATTTGCCTTTTAAGAGTGATCAGCTCCAAAATGTTCATGGCTATATGCTGATGAGAGCTATGCTATGCAGAGAAGTTGATTTCAGCCATGCTCTAACCATTGGTGCTCATGGTGTTGAAAGGCAGTCCTCCACGGTTGTCTTGCACTTCTGAAATTCTTCCTAGATGTGCTAAGAATTTACTTCATTATTAGCTGGCCCATGTCTTAGACAACTAAGTGGATCCCATCGCAGAGTTCCTGCCTCCCTAAGTCTGTGGTGGAACCCCCAAATCTGCAATTCTGACAAGTTGCCTGGGGTGCGAGAAGCACATGTCATTATCCAGTGTCTTATTCATGGTGCCTCTCAATGTTTCTGGGTTATCAAAGGCTTATGAAAAAATACAGAAGCCCTGGTTTTTGGAAGTAGAATCAAGTCTGGACCTCAATGCTTTTCCCAAGTTCTGTAAGAATTCAGATAGTCACAAAATTCTGAGAACCATTGTCTTCATGATTTAAAGTAATATGACTCAACTGGGAATGATTTTGCCCACCCAGAGACATTTGACAATACCTGGAGGAATTTTTGCCTGTTAACTGGGGGATGGAAAATAGAAACACTATGGACCACGGAATGGTGCTAGCATCCTATCATTCACAGGAAAGCTACCCACAAGAAAGCATTGTCCAGCTGTAAGTGTCGTTAATACTGAGCTTGAATGTGCAGAACCCTGGGGCAGATCATAATTTGGCAATGCAAGACTTAATCCAATTACATTATTTTATAAATCAGGAAAAATGGACCCACAAGTCACATGGATAGAAAGCAGCAAGATGTTTAGTTTCACATGAAATACAAAGCATATATGCTAAATGTCATGAAGCCCTAGGTGATAGTATTTTTGCAGATTCCTTTGTAAACAGAGAAAGAGTGCATGAAAGAAAGAAATTGTGATTTGATAAAAGGAGGTATTGGAAACAAAAGATGTTGACATTTCCCCTAAGATAGGTATTAAATGGGAGTCTGAAATTTCACTTTTGTTCCCTATTCCTTACAAATTTTAGGAACAGCCAAAGAACAAGAGAGGCCATCCAAAATCTTTAAAAGGACTCAGTCACTTTCCTTTTTTATTATATTTGGAATGAATCTTGACAGCAACTTGAATTTCCTTTTGACTTCGGTTTACAAATCAACAATATCGTTACACTCTGCTTGCTTCAGGGAACTATCAGCAGAAAAGAATTCAGAGAACAGAAGTTCTTCAAGTGTTTCTTAATTTCTTCAAATCAGCTTGGCTTTTTAGAGCTGATTTTTCTTCCTTCTATAAAATCCCGGTGGAAAAATAAAAGGTGTATTTAGACTTCAGCAGTAAATTTAATCAACACTTTCTGTAAGCAAATCTGATATTAGTTTATTTTGATCATGTGTAGCCAGGGCTTCGCTTGCCCCAGACATCTTTGATTCCTTTGAAATGAAGGGAATAATTCTCACTTGCAACAACTCAGGCCATGTTCGGCTGTTGTTGATGCTGGCGACAAGGGAGTTGGTTGGAACATTTTTTTTTCTTACCCAAATAGGATCATCTGAAGCCTTTTTTTTTCCTCCAAATAAGCTAGTGTGAAAAACCAAGCCACCAACAGTCTGTCAACATAGTGAGAGAAAAGGGCCTCCCTGGAGGAAGTTTTTTTTTTCCTAAAGAAAAATTAATATTTAACTTACAATTAAAATCAAACGGGCTGCCGCATTCCAGGACTGTGTTCCTTTCCAGTCTCCTTAGCGGCTCCATGTCTGTGCTTACCTTGATTCCTGATTGAGCTTTAAAATTCCAAATCAAACAGAATGTGCAAGCGCTGGCCTCACACTCATGTCAGGGAGTCCTTCTCACTTCGTTCCTTAGGAAGCTCACACTTAGTTGAGCCAAAAGAGGTTGGTAGGGATAAGTCACGTTAATTATTCCCCAGATATTTTAAGCTAAATACACAATTCGTATTGAAATCCAGAGACTGGATATGATGTCAACTCTTTTCGCAAACATTAAGTCATCTCACATTCAAGAGTCTTTTGAATGAGGCAAGAGTGCTGTCATTTTACCAGTGAAAAAAACAGAGGCTTATGAAGGAAAAATGACTTGCCTAAGGACACAGTTGTGTCAGGACCAGGATTGAAGTCTACTTCGTGCTTTTCATAACAGACTACACTGCCTCCCTCTAGGCCTAAAACACCTTTAATAGCTCCTGTCAAAATTGTTTTGGCTCAGATTTTAGAGAATACATTTTATTCTGTCATCATTAATTTGTTTTATTAGTGTATGAATTATTCAGCT